CTGGTTTGTTTTTTTTTAGCTAAATTTCATAGCTTGGTCTTTTTAGACTAAAGATTGTTTACATGGTGATTTGAGGAGATGCTGTTTGCGCTTAATAAAGAGTTAAATCTTAATTATTTATATTTTTATATATGAATAGACATCAAATACTAATATTTTTCATTTTACTTAAAATATTTGAACTTAAAGTTGAAGATGAATTGTGTTTAGTCATACTAGTCGTAAAAAAATATTTGTAAATACATACTTAAAGTTCATAATTAAAGTTCATAGAAGAACAAACACAATTTTTACATAAGCCGATCTATATAAAAGCGTAAAAATGTATATAAGCACCTCTTATACACTTCTATACATTATCTACAGTAAAATATCGTATGCATAAGTACTGTTGTGAAAAAAGAAGAAGAGGCTATTCATATAGACCGTATATTTTTGTAAAAATCTTCAATTAGAATACAAATGCACTCAAAAGGAAGAATGTGAATAGAAAAAAACTAATTAGAAGGTTGGTATAATAAATGATTATGATTGTGGTACTTCACCCTTAAGCCTTGTTTTCACCAGAATTACAAATTTTCCATCAGCCCATTGTCAAGGTCGGTCGCATGTCAGGGTTAGGCCTCGAGTCGACATTGGGTCCCTTGTCATGGCTGGGTCAGTTGTTGGGTCTCGGGTTAGGCTTAGGCCAGGGTTTGGGTTGGATTTCGAGTCGGAGTCGAAGCAAGGGTTCCTGTTTAAGGGCGGATCCTGATCCAAATGTCATAGTATTTGTCACCATTATACCTAAATACTCCTGGAATAATATTTTCTCCTTACTAATAAAACACTCTAAAACAAGTAAAAATCCACTTATTTTTTCAGAAAAACATTTTCATTTTTACCAAACACACCCAAAGTGTGTATACTTTATCCTCCCTAGGATCTACTGTTAAAATGTCTCGATTTCAAGATTGAAATACTTTTGACATTTTTTTTCCAAATTAACAAAATATTTTAAATGTTACATATAAGAAAATAATAGAAGTTTCTTTTGTGACAGAAGAAAAGGTCAAAAGAGTACTTGTCAAGACACCAATCTAAAAGTTCAATGCTAACTTTCTAGTCAAGCAAATTCGAAAGTTCAGTGGAACGCTTAAAGAACCATCAAAGTTGATATTTTTATGCTAGCTAACATGCTTTCATGTGATAAAAGCTTTTTTTTTTAAAAAAAGTTCTAAAATAAATTCTTTTCCATATTGGAGTAAAATAAAAATTCTTTATCACAAATTCCTGAAATAACATGCACCCTGTTAGCATATGAAACTTACGTTCAAAAGAATATGAATATTACAATAGCAAATAGAATATTCTTGCTCTTTTACCGATCAAAAAATATTCTTACTTTTTTGTAATTATAATAATAGTGTACTGGCCAGCTTGATGTACCTTAACTATTTCATTGGGTAAATGTTATCTTCTACCACCTGATATATATATATATATATATTTATAGGTTAATCAGCCGGTCACCAAAGCTTAGACAGATGAAAAAAATATCATCTAGTGTATCTTGCCTTCACTATAAATTTAAATTTGAGATTCATAATTTGCTTCACTTCATTGATTACTAGATCACACCCGTGATTGTTGGAGTATTCTTGAAATTTTTTCTTTTGATGAACGTGGTGTCTGCAGTGGCGTAGCCACATGGTGGGTCAGGGTCGTCGGAAAAAATAGTAAAATGATACACAAAATGATTAAATAACATAATTTGGACACTCTTAACATAACAAGTTATTATAGTCTAATGGTTTCACCTCCTTGGAATAAAAAAGTGCTCGTGTGTTCAAATTTATTGTGCTATTTCTGGACACCCTTTATGGAATTCCTGGGTGTCCGAGCCAAAACACCTCAACTAATTCCATAGGATATCCGTCACCTCCCACCAACAAAATTTCAAATCCTTGTAGATCGCTTCTCTTGTTGATTTGCTATATACTAACACTCCACTTTTACCTAACTGTTTCTCTATTGGGGAATGCTGATAAAATGACCAGCTGACATTAGAATCTGGTTAAATACCAGATTGCCAAGTAGAACTTTTCAATTCAACTTTAATCTCTTACGAAACTTACTCATTTTATTTAAAACTTGTCATGGTTTTCTTTATAATGTAGATTTCTAAGTATGACATTGGACAGTACAAAAATTCTTGATTTTTATAGTTTATCACATGCTTTTCTCATCTCAAAGCAGGAAAAGTTTAAACTATTGAACGGAAATGAGAAGTCATGATTTACAAACATAATAAACTACATTTCAATCTCAAATTACTGGGGAAGCTATACAACTTCAGTATGACTGTATCAAAACATTCAGAAGCAAAAAATGCATAATTTTCCATCTAACGCATATGAAAATGCAATAACGAGCTTTGAGTTTCATAAACTAATCAAGAAACTATAAAGTGATATACAGTACCTAGGTTCTGAGAGGACTTCCAACGGAGTTGCTGAAATTACAGTCACACCTTCAGTCTGGATAATGATCTTGATCCCTTTCTATAAAGCTTACTGATTCACATGTATGCATGGGAACTACGACCTTAGCTCTGCAAACCTCTGTCTCACGGCATTGGCAAGTTTCCACTCACCAATACTTGTCAGGCCTTCAACAACCATTTGCCTTGACCTTATGTATGGTATAAAGCCTCTCTTGGTCATTTCTATCACAAACTTTCCAGCCAAAATAAACTGCCGGCTCTCTAAGCACCCTTCAAGCACTGATTGGTAGCACTCGAATCCAATATGCACACCCTCATTTGTTAAGAACTCAATTACTTCAATTGCTCTCCTTATCTCTTTGTTAGCCCGTATTGCTGCCAAAAGTTTCACCAAAGTTTCTTTTCTGGGGCTCAAGCCAAATATGGCAACCATTTCATTCAATGTCTTTATGATAGCAGACGTCATTCTTAGCTCGGATAAGTTGTCAATTAAAGAACCGTAACAATCCAAATCCGGACTACAACCAGCACGGCCCATTCCCTTCAATACATTAACTGCTTCATCTATCTGATCAACCTTACAAAGCGATGAGATTAGGTAACTGCAAGTGCCACAATCAGGTGCATATCCAATATCCTGCATTTCCAACAATATGCTTGAAACAGAATAGGATTTACTCCGACGTTCAATCCATGCAGTGGAGAGTAGGAGGTGAGTTTGAGGTACTGGAATGCAGCCAGAGCGAAGGGTACGCTGGAGAATGGCAAGAGCAAGTGGGAGAGGATTTGAGCTTTGGAGACTGTAGGAAAGGAGACAGGAATATGCAATTTGAGGGCGATAACGAGGCCTGATCGGAGAAAAAGACTGTAAAATTTCGTCAACAATTTTGACACTTGTGTTTTCAGGGAAGGTGGATAAAAATGAAAAGGGATTCGGACTGCAGTGAAACCCTTCAGAAGAGCTTAGAATATCAGGAATCTGTTCATATCTTTTATCTTCCACCACAGCTTTAATGGATTCTTCAAGCATTCTTGCTGAAGAGATAAAAGAACGACAAAGAGGACGAACAGAGAAGTGTAGCTTTGCAACAGCCATCACCCTGGATATCCAGGTTCTTCTTATTTTCCTCTCAAATGTAAATAAAATTAGTTGAGCTGCACATAAACTGATCAAACACGGAAGCTGATTTTTTAATTGGAATGAACAGCTTAGTGTCGGCGCAGAATGCTTGAATTACCTACACCTGCAGAAGGGGTTTGCAGAAATTGGACACATGATATAGCAAAATGAATGAAGAGCAGAAAATATGTGACAATATTCATTGTGGCATAACATCGACCAGGGAACAGGCATAAAATGGGACAAAAATAAGAAACTTTATTTTTCCTGGGAAAGATTCAAATACATACAAATTCAACATTCTATCAAGTGGAAAAGGAGAAAAGTAATACCTGATCTGACTATCAACACTATCACGCATCCGTATTCTTCTGCAATTTTTTTTTTTTTTTTTTTTGCCTCTTCTTCAGTTTCCATACATTTTACAACTTTTATATTTACTTTACTATGAGGTGTTGTTATTATTCTCCTAATTATTTTGTTTATATTTTCAAATCACGATTCAATTTAATCAATAACGTTATATTCAATTAAAAGATGCAACCCAAAAATGGTCAAATGCCTTTGGACTTCTACGAAGATGATTAATTATGTACTCTTGAGTTTTTTTTTTTTTTTTTTTTTTACATTTAAGATTATAATTTTTTAAAATGTAATGAATATTTACAAAGTGCATATTACACCATGAATTAGCTAAAAGAAAAAAATATTACTGTCATATAATTTAGGAAAAATGGTCTAAAATATATCTGAATTTTGACCGAAATTGCTGTAACAATCTCAAATTTTGGACAGGAACAATTTCGATCATGCCCAAAGTTTGAAATTGTTACAACAATTTCGGTCAAAATTCGAATATATTTCAAACTATTTTCCCTATAATTTATATAATGTCCCTTTCATCTTTCAATAATTGCAGATATACAATTTATATGAGTTTGTAGACTAAATCATTGTCTCAGAGTTATTACTTTCATCTTTCAACACCTATTTTTTTTTTGTATGAATCCTTTCTCTTTTGTAAGTCTACCCATTGTGAAACTTCGTGTAACTGCACTTAGCACTTACTTATATTCATTATATAATGACTTCCGTTAGTGATCATAATTCATATAGCTGTTATTAGTTGTCATTTGAGTTTTACCGCAGCTTTGGTATATGAGGCCATTTTTGTTGTTGTAATTGATGATAAATTATAAAGTTGATCAAATAAACACAAATATCCCACGTCACAATATTTCAAAAGACACAAAAGTGATAATTCCTTCTAAGTTCTGAATTTCTGGCATCTTTTTTTGACATTTTTCCAAGTGTAAACTCCACCTAGTTTAGGGAACATGAATTAGTAATAACTAGTTTAGAAAGATAAAATACAAAAAGAGAAGAAAAATAAATAAACTTAACAGAAGATTCATCATTTCAATAGTATGCTGTAAGAAATGGCCACAAGTGCCAAAATGTATAGCAACTGCAGTGGCGGAAATGAGGGTGCTCTGTAACTATCAGCAAAGTTTATTTCTCTGCCCCCAGCTGCAAAATTCAACATAAACACACTGTTAAAGTCTAGAGGGCCGAATAATTCTGAATCATGGTTACTCCATGTCAAATCACGTTATGGGTTCAGCTTCATCAAATTTAGATCGCATAAATTATTTGAGTGAACAAGAAAAGAAGAAGTTATGTCTCACTTACCACAATCTCTAGTAGAATTACTAGTGCTTGAGCAAATGCACTGCGCCATCTCAGTCTCTACATCAAATCCACAAGTCCCACCAGATTTAGCGCACCGGGCACATCCAGTGTCCGGCACGCTAAATGACAATTTCATCCCATAAAGCCAATCCAACGGCCCAACACCTTCCAATCTATCCGTATTATAAACACTCGTATAATGCGTGCAATCCAATATATCCATACTCATATACTTCACCGTTTCATAACCCGTGAAACAACACGCCGGCGTACTGTTAGACAGTAAATGAAACAACTTAAACGAAGTGCACGAACCGTAGAGTTCGTCACACGAATGACCAGAGAAATTAAAACAGAGGGACTTGTAATGATTAAGTACAGGGGAATCGATGGAGCAATTGACGAGGATGAAGACCGTGTCAGGCGTAGGCGGGATTATAGCTGATTGAATTTCTGACATTTTGAAGTCGTGGTGAGGTTGTAGGATTGAACAAGTAGACATTGAAGGATCGAAGATCGTCATGGTTTGCTTTTTGTAGTCGATTGATTGGACTTTGTAATTTCCTGATGGTGTTAGGAAGAATAAATCAGTAGCGGAGCAATTCAGCATGTGACGATACTGCGGCGCGCCGCAGCCATCGTCAATGCTGAACGGGTAGTTTATGGGAATGTTGTTACAGAAATTGCGACATGTTGAGTGAATTTGTGGGGATTGTGATAGTAGCAACAGAATGAAGTATATTGTTAGATGATTGAACGTGAGAAAGAATGATTTTGAGTTAGCCATTGGTAAGGTGAAAGAAAGGGAGTTTAATTTGTTGTGAAAGGTTTCAGATTTCACACGCAGATTTCGATGAGTAACTTTTTTTTCACACGCAAATTTCAAATATTTTGCAGAAAGCAAATGGCGAGCAGCTGTCCGCAATTTTCTCCTATTAACAGTTGATTTTTTGACCGTTGGCCCGCCGTTTCACTGTCTTTTACAGGGCTCCACACTGGAAAAAAAAATCAGTATTCGATGATGAAGGAATGAAGAATTCTTTTTTCTTATTTAAGGGAAAGGAATAATGGATAACCACTTTCAATTTCATTAGCATAAATCGATTCTCAATCAACGCTTGTTGCACGACTAGTTATCTAGTATGGTACACATTTTTTATGTGATCTACAAGTTATCGAACAAGAGCTATTAGCTCAGCGTACACTTGAAGAGAATCAATTATGAAACTTTCTTGGAATACCAAAAAAGCATGAAGTGTAATTTTTTTAAAAAGGTAACGCATATGACAAGCTAGCAAAAGGACCAAGCAATTAGATACAGGAGTAGAAAGAAAATGAAGCAATCAAAAGTAGCAGTAGTTTATCATAGTGTCTCCTAAAGAACATCATATTGGAGCTCAAAGTCAAAGGAGTCAGATAATACACAAATCTACTTACAGTCATACTATATATATTTAAGAAAAAAAATAGTTTGTGATGCGAATACAACTGACATTTAAGAACAATATTGGAGTTGTTTGAAAGACCGTATAAGAATATTAGTAATGCATGTATTAATTATATTGTTTAATTTATTGTATTAAAAATAACATGTATGACAAAAAGTATATTTATAAAAATGTCGTCCACTATTATGATGGAATGTTAAAAATATTTTGAGGGGCAATAGGTCTTCAATCATGCTAATGCATGCATTAAACCCCCTTACAGTACTAATACTAAAAAATTCCATGTATTAATAATAAATACTAGAGTGAAATATTAGTTATACATATATCGGAAATGGGAGATGGAAGATGGCTTGAGAGGGATTTGTAGTTATTAATTAATCTAATGTGTGTATTAAAATAAGGTAAAAGATTAAAATATTCCATCGAACTTTGAGAAAATGTTCATCTATGTCATTCGTTAAAAACTTGGCTCATCTATGTCATTTTCATTTGAGAAAAAAGGCTCATTCATACAATTATTTGTAAATAGAAAACAGTTCAAATTTTGCAAAATAGGTGGTCAATATGATTCGACCAAATCATTAATTATTATTTTTTTTTAAAAGGAAAAGACTCAAATATGTCATCAACTTTAAAAAATGACATTTATGTCATCCTTTAAAAAATTACGAGCCTCTTCTCAAATAAAAATGACATAAATGAGCCAAACTTTTAACAGATGACATACATAAAATAATTTTTCAAAACTCAACAGTGTATTTGAGCCTTTTCATGATACAATGCATTAGTATATATTGACTAAAAAAGTGTAGGAAGGTACTAATATTACAAGTTTAAAACTCAGTCCTTACCTGTTAATTGATGGGAAAAAAAAAGGTGGTAAGTTACCTTAACGCTGTTAGAGTAATATTTTTAAGGGTAAGGAAACCACGTGCACTTCACCCGAGTTTTTCTTCTCCGGCAAACAAAATTTCCCCTTGTTTGTTCAAGAACCCGATCGGGGTATCGTTATTTTCCCACAATATCATCGATCTCTAATTTATAGTTAGTAAGAAAAGGATCTGCGGAAAGGAATTTTGTTGAAGAAACCGTTGAATTCCAGCAATGGAGATCTTATAAACCTTTGAGTTCCATTGCGCATTGATGAAGAAGATCGGTTAATGACAAAACTTTCAAGTTCTATTTATGGGCAAATGATAGCAGGGATTGAAACAAAACAAGTTTTAAGGTACTCTCGGCCGTTCATTATTGTTCCCAAATTACTAGTAATTAAAATTGATGAAACTTAATTAGTATATTTTGGCCCTTTCCTCTGGATTATACCTAATATAATTATTTTACTATGTTGACAAATTAACTAGGGAAACAAATAAAAATGATACTTGTTTGGGTTTCGAAAAATTCATAATTTCCTTATAAATTTTCAATTTCAGTAGCTGAGATGTCTTCAAATTGGGTAGCAGCTCAAGTAACTCGGTAAGCAGTTTTTCTCTGTGGATTTAATTCATACATGTCTATCTAATTGCCTTTGGAAATTATAATCTGAATTGGGTTTATCTAATCTGATTGCAACTGTATTTTATGTTGTATTTGTTTCGTCCTTGTTAGTCCCATTTATTTCTGGGATTATGGTGATTGAGATTGAGATTATGGTGAATCATGGGTCCATCTCGGTTGGACTCACCTACTTAGCTTAGGTTTTACCTCAGTTCCAGATTGAATGACTTGCTGCAGTTTGGAGATTGTATTAATAGTTATAAGTATGTGAATAGAGGAAAATGTTATTAAGTAGTAATATTGTAGCGCAGTTTGATCTTCTGTAGATAGAAACTCTGATTTTAGGGCAAGCAATATAGCAATTGCAATGCCCCCTAAAAGAAAGAACAAGTGTTTGATTAAATTGAGTCTCAATAAACCTTTCGGAAGAAAGAAAAAAAGAAAATCCAATTTGCTTTTCTTTTCCCCCTGTATGCCCTCCTTATGTGCTGCTGCGTTATATCTTTTATATTTTGTCCATTTATTCATCTCTTTGTTTTCTGAAGTTCTGAAGTGAGACAGAAAAAAATGACTTAGACTCTTAAGTTCAAATGAGAACCGATATGTAGTGGTTTTGTGTTAGAGCATTGTTGATCTAAACAAAGCAATTAAAATATCACCATGTGTCATGTGGCATGCTGGATATGTGTAATTGCCAATCCTGTTTTTTTTTAAAGTCAGTGTTATAAAAAGCCTCGCTTTAAGCTTTGAAGAGAAGCCAGGTGTGGGTCTTGCGCTTCAGATGGCTCCTTCTCTTCTGCTATATCCGTACTGCTTGCAACTTCTTTTTTCTTCTTTCTCTTCTTCTCTTCTCTGTTTCAATATCTTTTTTTTCTTTCTCGCCTATCTCCATTGAAAGTTTAGCACCACATCTTGTTACACAATTGACTAGTAAGTTCTCTTCCTTTTCTTAATTAATGTCTTTAGTTATGGTAATATTAAAGACCTTTAAATCCGTAAACTAATTATACCTGAAACATACTCCTAAGTAAGGATGAATTCCTGGTCACTAGCTCCATTCATTCCATAATTTTAAAGGAACTAATGATCCTCATTGTTATTAACTTATTATTCTGTGAGTTGCTTGGTGGTTTTTCTCTAGAAATGGCTTAATTCTAGAGGCAGTTTCCATGCACTAACATCTCTGTTTTGGGTGTTTTGGCAATTGTTGGGACAAGTATAATTCTTATTCAGAGTGACATTTTGGACCTTCTTAGATATCGTGATGCTGGAAGATAAAGGTTGGGAAGATCCTCGTTCCGTTAATAGCCCTAGGAGGATCTTGAGTTTTTCCAAGAATAGGAAGGCCACTGTGTTCTTTCCAGACCCAGACGACAGAGATTCAGGTTTTGGTGTTTCTGGAGATCAGGGACCCAAGACTTCTGAAGTTTACGGATTTGTTGGCTCCATTACTACTGTTGTTGCTACAGGTCTACCCATCCTCATCTTTAAGAAGCTTAGTCTGTTATTTAGAACATATCCCTATGTTTGAATATTCAATGTGTTCTTCTGATATCATAGTTTGGAATACAGTTGAATTGTTGGTATTATAATGTGATGTGATTTTCTTCCTTGGTAATGCTCATCATGACATGAAAGTTACTTATTCTTATCTTTTGGTTAGACTCCTTGGCCTTCCTGGAAATGCTTGTGCTCAGGCATCACCAGTATCTGGATATAGGGTAGAGTATGCTAATTGATTTTTCTTAGGAGTTGAAATGACAAGGCTGTTGAAATCTCTGGATATATTACTTTGCAAATATTGAAAACAGATGCAAATACTAATTTTTGATTTGTCTGCAAGATGTCGTCTGTTGTAAAGTATTGAGCTTCATATTTTGTATGTATAGCTGCTTTGCTTTAACCTAATTCCACTGGTATTCCAGTGGTCACAACATTCATTTGATTTCATGCATACGGAAGTCTGATTGGTTTCTATTATTTTCAATGAGCAGTTCTTTTTCTGGTGTGGGCATATCTTCCCGAACATTGGTTGCACTCTTTGGGAATTGTTTACTATCCAAGCAGGTAAAGAAGATGTACTTGCAGGCTTGTGTCATCTTTACATCTTGTCTCTAAAAAGATCCCTTTTTAAATTAGGAGATAATATGAATTTCATAGTTTCAAATTTACTTAGCTGGTTTGTCTGAGACACCAGAGCCAGAAGCTGGTTAGTGTATTCCAGCTACCTAAGTTGGGCTTAGTTTATTCCAATTTCTGGATCTATAATGGCATTTGGTTGTTTTGAACAAACATATTGAAAAGAGGAGGCACAAATTTTTAATTGATAAGCCCTTTAGTTGCATTTCAGAAATTGATATATATTGGTCGTACATTTCAGAAATTACAAGTGCATGAAAGCAATTTAAAGCATTTGCAGAATGCTCAAGATGAAAAGAATTATCTTGGCAGAACTTAGCTGGTCACTTACTAATTGTCACAAGATATATTTAACATCTTGTTAAATTGTTCTTGGTTTTATCAGGTACTGGGCATTAGCTGCGCCTGCTTATGCGATGATGACTATATCACTAGCTGCAGGATTTTACATTGGTCTCAACTTCTTGGCTACCCCTCCTCCTTCTTTCAGCCTGATATATGGTAATTGTTACCCGACTTTCTGGCAATGACAGTTGAAAGGATTTTCCTAGCGTTTCTGTCTCTGACTCTTGATGCATGCAAAACCCAAATTTAACATTGTTTGTTGAGAACATATTGTGAGTAGTTGTTTTTACATAATTATGGGATTGAGCTCGTAATGTTTTCTTTCTATCTATTCTGCAGATGAATTCACAAGAGAACCTTTGCGCAACGTGCCTTCAACAGACAATGATGAGCAACCTATAGAGCCTATATCTGATATTCGGATTGATCAAATAAATGACCTTATGTTCAATCCAAGATGAGAAATAATTTTACTGTGCAGTTATTTTGCTTGGGTAGATTGTATCAGTTTCATTTATCAGTGTATCTCTTTGATTCACCCAATTCAGGTACTCGACATTAAATGTAATTTAGATGTGGCTTTTTTCACAATCGTTCATTTGCTTTCCTCTGTGTAGTACCGAAAAACTAATATACTGGTTAGCAAGGGTATATTACTGTTAGGGAAAAAGATCAAATTGGCAAGTTCATAATGGTTCTGGTATTTGAGTGTTTCTCTTTGCTCATTGGTTTTAGAAGTACTGTTTAAAGACGCCATATTTCTACATCATGAAGTAATATTTTCTTTATCCAAGTCCATAAGCGGTAAAAGGGATACAAAAATGGAGCAGACTGAATGTGGTATTAACTCAGTTCACAAATACATAATAAAGCAACAATTCATCCAAACCAAATACCATGACAATAATTTCTACAACAATCAAAGAATTTAGGATGTTCGAACAAGCAGCGATATTGATTCACCCAAGTCGTGAATTTGTTGTATCGTAGAAGAAAGGTGTCTCTTAAAAGTGCAATCATCGTACCCACGCTACAGAATCAATCTCATCTCTTGCTTTCTTGTACAGTTCAAGCCTCTTGGCACATTGCATTCTTCTCTCCATCAATGCAGGATCTTCATCTAACAATTCTGAAAGTGCCTTGCCCTGAGAAATATAAAGAACTGTCAGCACTAGTACTATAAAAAAAACTCCTAATTCGGGATGAACACTGAGATAGTACCTCTTTCTTCCCAATCTGAGTGTAGAAGTAGTTCAACAAAGATTGTTTGGCCTCCTTAACTTGACAATAAACCACTGCTTTGGGGAGTGTGTTCCTCAATGTATCAGACACCATATTTACATATGATGATACATTTGAACCTATCCGACGAAAGTGAGCCTCTCCATACCGGTCTACGGCAGCAGCAGCTTCTGGCTTTCCCCCCTTGGGGATTTCCATCTCCTGAGGTAGTTTTCTGAAGAAATCCACTGTCACGTAAGAAGATTCCATGTCCACTAATCTGACTACCGTCTTTCTACCTTCATCCCGGAATTTTTCCAAGGCTTCATTAGAAGCTGCAGCTATTGTAGATTGCAAACTAGGAAACCGCTTCAATTCCTGCTCCACCAATATATTTAGAAATAATCAGAAAAGGGAGAAGAGGTTATTGTAGCTAAAAATAAAATACAACATAGCTGCCCGGCACCATTACCTGACATTCTCCAATAGATTTCCTCACTAGTTCCTTCAACACAAAGTGAACCTGATATGTAGTTTCACATAAACTTAGAGTTGATAGGAAGCATTAACTATTTGACCCTGATAAATTTTGAAAAATTACTTACAGCATCAACAGAGGCTTCAGCTGGGCCTCTAAAATAATTTAAGGCCCCTTCAATTAGACGTCTATAACCTTGCTCAGGTGCTATCAAGTGAGGCTGGTAACCATCTGCCTCTGAAACAACTTTCCTCACATTTTGTACAGAGAGATATCGGTCAAACGGGAGTTTTCTCAAAGCAGCAGGTAGTTGGTTGTCAAAAACTCCATAAATTCGATCACCACCAGGTCGACTGATTAACAAAAAGAGATATATACATGTTATATATAGTCTAGGTGCAGAGCAATAAACTGGAAGTTCATTAAATCAGTACAAGCATTTACAGACAGGATAGACGAGTGTGACATGTCTCTTGAAATGTGTTGCCAATTCCTTGAGTTTAATGGGTACATCTTTTTTTATTTTACAAGTTCTCATGAGTGAAGTTTCTTCAAATTCTGTGTTTATGGGTACTAGTCACATTTGGTGGTCTCTTTTCAGCCTTTGCCAAATCCCTCCTTGTATTTCAAGTTCCTTTGTGCTTATGGTTCCTTTGGATTTTTTGAAGTGCTTACGATCATGAAAGTTAGATTTGGAAAATTAAGGAAAAAAAGAAACCAATCCACTTACCCTCCATCTAGATGCTCCTTAAATATCTTATCAAAAGCACGGCAAAGTTCCAAAATAGTATACAGTTGAGCCTGAAATAGACCAGTTCAGTTACTAAGATAAAGGAAAATCTCTCAATCAACAGTAGCAACGATGGATATAGAAGTCGAAGCTTACGCCTGCATCAACAGCAATAGGCCTTCCAAGGTGGTCCAGTTCCGATTCAAGTTCATCTATGCTTTTATTGATAAGTGATGTGATACTTGGTATTCTTGCCTTAATAAATTGTTCCAAGTGCTGAAATGGAAACAATCTGAATATGAACTCTGCTCAACTTATTTAGGAATTCCTTACATGAAAAGAACTATTAAGTATACCTTTGACAGTAGTTTTGCAAGGTACTCTGAACCCATTTTACTAGCCAGATGCCCATACTCCGGACTGGTAGCAAAATATTCACGCTCCTTTCTTCTTGCATAAATCATGTCTACATTTTTATTGATGTCAGCTTGTGAACGATTCACAATACCAACCCAGGGATGTTGCAAACGATAAGCTCTTCCTTCAAGAACCTTAAATTCAAGGGAAAAAAATCAATTACTAGTACAACAAGCTGTGCTGCCAAATTATAGTATACAACAAGGACTCAGCGAGTGAGATTCGATTATGCTTATCCGATTTATGAATCAATTAATGTAGATATTAACCAAAATAAGTTCACAGGTAATATAACAAATAATAAAACTCACATCTAGAGCATTAGTGCCTTTGTCCATCAAATCTAGTTTGGTCAACACTCCAAATGTCCGTTCACCTACATGGGTTGCAATGTGACACTTCATAAATGATAATGACAAACATTAAACATTCTCCCAAAATATGGACACTCTTTGACAAGTAGTCAAGCTACTGGACTCAAGAGTCCCCAAACTGTTAATATCAAAAGATTATACCTGTGGGGTCCACTTCTCTTGCAAGTTTTATTGCGTCAGAGGTGGCGATATCCTGATTGGCAGGAGAAACAGCTAGAATGATGCAGTTTGGCTGCATGAGAGGAAAGAGATCAGATGAAGAGAAGACACAAACCGAGCACAACTCATGTATGGGAAATAAACACAATAACTAGCAAACAATGTGAAAGTAAAGGCAGCCTATTTTTCACACTGATGAATGTTAGTAGCAAGCCAACCATGCATGGAGATAAATGGAAAAACTACCAAATAATGTGAAAGTAAAGACTTGTCCTAGTTTAATTCAGGTGGATTTTCTTGAACTGACAGCAACAGAAAACCTAGCAAGGGAATATTGTGCTCATCAGCTCAGTCATCAATTCACTCGACCAATATAAGAATAGTTGTTCTTTGGCATTATGTTCCACACTAACTGAATATTGTTCGGAGATCCAGTAAAGGGAACGGCAGACTTTAGGTGATTGATATTCAGAACAATTTCTCTGACTGCAAGAGGTATATAAAAAAGTTTGCAGTTACTCATTATTCAGTTTCTCACAAAATGTAGCATTCTGTTATTTGCACTATTCAGACTCCATTACCAGATGTTAAGGAGGAATGTTTAGTATATTATCAAAACAAGAGAATTTGTCCCACATAATTTTGTGGGCTTTATCTACAAGAACAAGGTAAACTTCCAAGTTGAATTTTGTGAGGGCTGTAGTCATTTTGTAAATGTATATATGAAATTTTGAAACTCCTAAATCCTAACTAGTTAAATCACCAAGCATTTCCACTCTTTTAAGGGACTAATACCTACATCACATATAGATGGAAAGCTTTATGCACCATTTGTGGTTTAGTCTCTCTCTATGAGCAATATCTCAATACCAATAAATATCTCCACTCTTCTTACCACAGAAAGAAAAATGAGCATATCAGAAAGTTAAATTAGTATCTCATTACCTTCCCAACATATGTTCGCACCATGTTCTCAATGTCTTCGACTATAGTCTCAGACTGCCCCTCTGCAGTGATGAGTATTGTTGCATTGAAAACAGGTTTGATAAGACTTAAAAAGAATGCAAATAATGAAAGGACGTATGGAGCGTACCAACAGCCACTTTTGTTAAACCAGGTAAATCAATCAGTGTTAAGTTGACCACTGCCAAGAAAAAACACATGGTATGGAGTTAGCATGATAAAGAGAGAATGATATGCTCTTTAGAACAGTCACCACCAAAAGGAACAAGAGAAAAGACCATCCGTTCTCAGCAATAAATCAAAACGTTATGATGAAATACTAAAACATCAAGCCCATCTTCGATGAAATTTAGAAAAGCAGACATGCATGTGAAATAACTAACTTCAGAAACAAAAACTATTAAAAAAAACCACTGATGCAATGTAGAGTAAGATTACTTTTTGGGACCATAAATGAATTCTTAAGCACATATAAATAATTCATGGACATCATACCATTTGGAGAGTATATGCTCAGGTGGATCGGAACAGGAGAAATCTGCTTAGTTTTCCCTGTGATTCGATCAGTTTCATCCGCAATCTCCTTGCGGACCATGCCTGTTAAAAAAATAATAAAGAAAACACATTTTGTCAAATCAGAATCTACAATCTAGTACTGATAAGTAAAACTGATGTGCTTGAGGGCACACATACATGTCACTTCACAAGCGCTCACACATTAAGAGAGAGAGAGGAGAGTGAATGAAAAAACTAATACAGCTAAAATTTAATAGTTCGTCTCCATAACCACCGATCTATTAAGTTACTGTATATGGCGACTCTTCTATGCACAAGTAATCGTGTTTCTCATTTACCTAACTTAAAAGCAAAAATGTTTCGTAGCTACTTTAATATTCATTAATTGTCATGAAATAGTAAAGAGTTTAGATAAATTCTGAAAGGGCTAAAGTAATGTCCCAAAAGAAGAAGAAAGAATGGAGGTAAACTGAAATACCAAAATCTGTGAACCGTCTTCTCGGAATATGACCAAACTCTGCATATTCCTGCTGTCCGTCATCAGTCTTATGAAGCTGCAACACCAATGGTCTCCTTGTGACAATTCCTGAATGGATACCACAGACAATTTCACTCAGCAAATGTAATTCACATAATCTATATAATATTAAAAGCAGGAAACCCTTAACAAGTAAAACAATGGGGATCTTAGTAAGGTCAATTGGTTGGCTATCCGAATTTTCACCTTGTTGCGGAGGGTTCAATTCCCCACCTTGTGATCCCTCCCCTATTTCTCCTTCCTAACCCCTATGTAATATAAAATTTAATAAAAGTTTAATGTTATGAAGACTTGCCACCATTTCTAATGTTACTCCCGCAAGAGTTGCCACAACTTATGGTCATTTGGTTTATCTTAGTGCAAATGGGGTTATTATCATCATCTTGCAGATTCCAAAATTCCAAAATTGAAGGGATATCACGCATGCACTTAGCTGCTTCTAGCAAATACTATTATCTCTTCTTTTCCTTGGTTAGCTGCTTTTAGTACTACGAACCAACAGATCACCAGAATCTTGAATGAGAGGTTATTTATAAATCATCTATTATACCTTGCTAGTGTTCAATCAAATATTGTTTACATCTAATCAAGTATGAATCTATTATACATACTCACATGTTTAGTTGCTTTGACTGACTTTACAATAAAAGCTAGGACTGTTTATCGGTTGGTCCAGCTCGGTTATGAATGTTATCAGTTATTGGACTGTAAACATGCTAAACCGATATTCGAACCACTAAGAAATCGATTGTCAATTTATTGGTTAACTGGTTAGCAGTCTTTACGTCTTGGTTATTCAAAGTGAGGCAGTGGCTTTTCTATATAAATTTATTATGATTTTTTTTCTTGGAAATGTTTACTAGATAGATGCATTGATCAAGAAAAAAAAAGGTGTTGTGAGTTGATGAGTTAAGAAGGAGAAATGGTCTTCACAAAAAGAATCAAAAGCCTTTTGTTGATTTTCAGTTGAATTTGATAGATCTTAATGGGTTATTGGTAAAACCGTTAATCAAACCAATAGGCCAAAAGAAAAAAAATTCTAAAATGATTTACAAACCGTGAAACCGATATCAATAAACCATTACTTTTTTTTTTTGTTCAGCTTATCGGTTAAATTAAATTTACATATGCCTACTAATAGCAAATATGTCGTAGAAGGTTGAAAGGAGAAGCAATTGTTATTTATTGGTTGGATCAGAACTTTTGATTTGCCCATAGAAATTTGCTTCAATGAACAAATCCTATAAGATAGAGCTAATTATTATTCTAGAGGCTTACGTACAAGCTATGGTGATCCCATTTAGCAATTGCTTGCTTCTTGTCGTGCATTTGATAAGCTAAAATATTTGAGTTATTTGGTAATGGGAACATACACATGCTAGCCTAGAATCTAATACATAGACAATCTGATACCATTGTGAACATCTCAATTGTGACATATTGGTTACAGACTATTGGTAAGGGGTTCATATGTCGCCCAACCTTTATTTGTCCCATCGTTTTTCCGGGTATGGTATCTTCCTTTTTTTCTTTATCAACATTAATTTTGGGGTTGCACCACATTGATACATGTCTGAGTATTACTATTATCTTTATTCTTCCTAATTTTATTTTTACTATTTCATTTTAGTACATATCATCCAATATTTTAAAAGAATATCTGTAGCAGATAGTTTGTTCATTGCTGGACAACTATATAGAAATAAGAGTATTAATCTATTTGCCTCTATATGAAGCTAGGTCATTCTTGCATACCTTAGACTGAATGATCTAACTCTATTGATCCTGCGCACCTTTCAAAATATGACTGGGTACTGCCAACACTTTGATAATTTAGCCTTTTTGTGTGTGACATTGCTTAGTATTTCTTATTTATTAGATATTGATTCTTGATTTCAAAAATTACATTATCAAGTTTGAAGCGTCTATTCTTGCTAATTTAGTAAGGAGAAGATCATTTAATCACGAGTTTTTTGGGAGATATGTTTTATCTCAATAAATCAAGTTAATTTTATAACCACAGTGTTGACAAAGGTGATGGCCACAAAATCAAAATAAGTATAAAGAATCACATGGATCTAACTAAATTTTGATCGTTCATCTTAGTGGATTCAGATAATATCCAAATATATTGACCTCAACAAACAAGTCATTACACAATGATTTGCGTTGATTACTCACAAAAACTTGCACTTTATTCTTTTATGTATAATTATTACTCAATTTTAATAATATTGATATTATTTTACATAACCATATATTACATCACTTAACATACACGTGCACGTAAGGAGAAACTAGTTGTGTAAAATGTAATAGAAGTTCTAGCAATCCACCGCTTTAGTACACTTAGGAATTAGGATGATCTAGATAGTACAGAGAAAAAAAGTATGATAAAGATAAATTAATCGAGCTCACCTGATCCACGAGGAAGAAAATCTCGGCTTACTATGCTTTCCAACACAGATGACTTTCCAGAACTCTGAATCAATGCAAGCAAGGAGCAAAAACTGTATTAGCTCACTACCATGAATGACAGAGGTAAAACTCAAAATTTCATCTTTTCACTACTGAAATCAAATCAACACAAAACCATATTAAACAATCTCATTTCCTTTCAATACACAATAAAATGAGCTACTAAAATTAGTCTAGCAACAATCAATAGCAGAGGCAAAAATAACCAAAATTCCACCTTTACAGTACTTAAAAATCTAAATCAGCACAAACCCATATGCAGCCATCAATAGCAGTAGGGGAAAAAAGATCAAGATTACTCATTTTAACAAGTTAAAATCAAAATCCAACACAAACCCATATAGAAAAGTCTCATTTCCACCATCACTAATATGGATCTACTAATTACCCAACTCCCCAAGTTAAATCCTAGTTCCAGTAAAACCCATCGGGGAAAAAAAAATCAAGAAACCGAGTAAGATAATGGATCACCAACCTGACCACCGACAACGGCAACTGAAGGAAGAGCATCCCATAGAGAAGAAAATGCATTATCTCCACCACCATAATCACCAAGAGCTGTACAAGCTCTTTGAATCCGATTCACCAAACCAATTAAACTCTCCATAGTAGAAATCTCGTCTTCTCTCAAACTAAAAACAATAAAATCCTAAAACCCCAGATCTATATTTATTACAAGAGAAACAAGATTGGTAATTAAGCAATCAAGATTTGGACTTGAAAGTGGAACTGTGTTGTTGTTTACAGAGATGCGAAAGGAGAGAGATAGAGAAAAGGGTCTTTGAAATTGGACTTGGTTTGAAAGAAAAGTAAATGTAGGGCTTGCGATATATGCGCGTTATTGTCTCTTTGATTTATGTATGGCTAATACGACTTGTACCTTTCCATTTTTATCTTTTTATAACGTTTGGAAATTTTGAAATTTGAATATTTGTGGGTCATCTTGCTCTAAGTTAAAGATTTTCAAATCAAAAGTTTGTGTATTGGGGTTTTAAAATGCACCTAGAGAGATGTATTCGAGTTTGAATTGCATATTCAAACGCTGGTTTCATCTTATAATTTCAAATTATGAGATGAAATTGCATTATGAGATTTTGTTAATAAATCGAGCGAAGTTAAAATCACGTCGTTTCCAAATTATTATTTTTTAAATAAGTCGACATTTTTGAAATGATACAAATACAAGTAGGAGCCCATCAAACTTAAGAATATTGTTAACAAAGTAAAATGGTCCATGGACAAGTATGACAACACAGAAGAAAGCAAATATTATAGTAGTTGATGAGTAGTTTTGAAGCTTTTTCTACCAAAGACATGAAGGAAATTCTCATTTTGTCCTAATATTAAATGTTTGTTTACAAATTTGTGGTACAAAATATGGACGGCCATTATTATTACATAATAAAACTTTTTAAAAAATATTATTATTTTTTGTTTTATACATAATCCTGGAAAATCCCAGAAGCACAAATACTTGTGAATCAAATTCTTCTATAAAAATGAAAGAATAAATTTGCAACTTGGTCAGGAATTTGAATGGGTACTAGTACTTCTTTGATTTAGTGAACTTAATTTGTTACCTTTTCAAGTGGTACTAGTATTATTCTTTGATAATTTTGTTACCATCTGCGTTCTAATTCATTAAAATCTAATTTTAACACATGAAAAAAGGTGATTTATCAGTGGTTTTAAAGAGAAAAAAAACATAGAAAAAAATGGTAAGGTAATACACACTTCTTTTCAAATTTATGCACAATGTATTAAAATTTAAAATGTCTAACATACATGATTTTAGTGCTATAATTATCAAATTGCAGCTTAAAATTTAACTTCGGCATATAATATACAACCATGTCAATATTGATCCAACTAATCAATGTAGAAAATTTTACACAAATCTCATATTGTTGTTAAGAACTAATTACATCATATCTCTACTCTTTTTCAAATTACAAATATCTCTTAAATATAGTGGAATCCGGATACATCCCAAAATATCTCAATACAGAGTGTCCCGATTTTGGATGCATCCCTCAAAGTCTCGATACTTCGCATCTCAGTTTCAGATACATCACTCAACGTCCCAATACATTGTGTAAAGTGATGTACCAAGAATAGGAGAGAGTAGAGGTTTTTGTAATTTTTTCAAAATGGTAGGAAATTTTAGAGAATATGGTAAAATAAGTTGTATATTTAAATAATTTTTTCATCAAATTATAGAATTGGGCTAACTACGCTGATGTATTTACATATTGGGCCAAATCTCCTGATCTGCTAATGTTCTAATTGGGCCTTTAGTGGGCATTGGGCTCGTATCTCTTCTGGAGCATGCTCTACACTAGTGGGCCACTATCTTATTATTTAGAGATCAATTACTCTTTACACTTTATAATATATTATGGCCCATTCACCAATGAACACAAAAAGGGCAACGTTAGAGGTGTCAAATGGGCAGATTGGACTGAATTAAATTTGGATGGGTCAAATGAGGATCAATAATGCTAATCAAGAAATTACACACATGCTTTGTATAAAAATTGGGTGAGCTTCAGACATTGACGTTAGACAAGCCTTAGACAATTTTTTCGTGAGAAAAGCACCTTTGATGGGTACCTTAAGATGTTTTTCAAGAAACTCACCCCGCACCAAGATCTAAATAAAAATTTAATACTTTTATAACAAGCGGTCAAATATATAATTTTCCTTTTAAAAAAACGAATCCGCAAAATAATAAACTGATAAGAACGACATTTCATAGTGGAAAATAGAGGTGCGTGCTTTGAAATAGATGGGCCAGCCCAAGCACTGGTTGGGATCTCTCAGGCCCACTTGGATCTCAAACTTCAAATTTCAGTTTTACTTCAGTCTAGCCCTATCTTCATTTTCCAAGCCTTTTAAAAATAAAATAAAAAATGTCATGATAATTTCACACCAAAAAGATCAGGAAATTTTAAAACATAGCCAATCAAAGATAGATTCAAAACTATCAATTCATATCCGAGAAAGATTAATTACATGCAAAATGTACGACCCTCGAATAAATTTTGACTCCAACATTATTTTCAAGGCATTACAAATTTTTTGAAATTTATAATTTGTTATATTATAAAGCGTCGACAATTAGAAAAACACCATCATTTTAAATATGCACAAATAAGGAAATAGAATATATGTGTTTAGGCTGTTTAAGTCAAAACTTTATCCCTAATAATTAGGCCCTAATTATGTTGTGATGGAGAGGGACTAGTTACCAACTCTAATAGTATAATCCATGTTGTTGGCACTCTAATCAGCTGCTTTCATTAATTAGAAAGATGAACTATTCTTGTCTTTTGTGTTTAGGACAAGTAGTTAATTTTGACTATTTAAAAAAACATATATGAATATAATTAAGCAGAACTTTTTGACAAAACATTACAATGTCGATTTTATGTAGGGTCAAGTTGAAGGCAAATCACAACAAATAAAGACAACAAAAAGGAAGTAACAATCGTACGATATCATATATAATGTTTTCGTGAAATTTCTCGTGAGTTGAATAGTGAGTACCAACTACTTTTCTGTCTCAAATTATTTATCGTATTTTTCTTTTATCCACTTTTGAAAAAAATATTAATTGGGAGGATTTTTTTTTTACTATTTTACCATTTATTAATATTTTAAGATAGAATCACCCTTTATTAACTATTAAGTCGTTTGTAATTTCAAGAACAATGTACTAAAGATAAAATGAAAAAAAAAATCTTAACTTTTACAATGATATTAATTTGAAATAAATATTTTTTTAAATTACGACAAATAATTTGAGATAGTGAAAGTAATATCATGAATGCATGAACGAGAAACATATATGATGCAATTCTCTACTATACACCTAAATTATATATGTGTGGATTTTATGACACCCTAAACTTAATTTTTTCATAGTATTTACCCCTTTACTAATTATCTAATAAATAAAATATGTTAATACGCAACATATGCAAATACACGCTTTTTCAAAACTAATTTTTAAACATACGCAAATACACGCTTATTTTATTTATCAAGTAATTAGTGACCAGTATAGTTTAAATATGTCATTATTAATTTCATCATAATGATTATAGGTGTTTGCTAGGTCAGGCAATACTCAGAGTGAAGAGTCATTTATGATGAAGCAAATGCAATTTCAGCTGCACATGCCAAATAAATGCCTGCTGTACCTCATGTTATGTGGTACTTCAATTTTCATATAATTAGCATTTATATATGTGCCTTATATTTTAATATAAAATATAAAAAATAGTATAATAAATCACTTCTATATCCAATTATGGACTATATATTATAAAAATATATTTATTTTGTTATCATGTACGAGAAAAGGTTTCCAATATTATGGACTTGGGCGGAAGAGTTCACCCAAATCTTCTTGGTAAAAAAACACAAAATTAGAGATTAATTCAGTAATTTAACGAATTCAAAATTTATCTTGAGATTTCAAATTCAAATTTTAGGTATTACTCTACTGTTTTATTTTTTAATTCCTCAATGAAAAATTATGACTTTACTAGTGATTCAAATATTTCAAGTTATAATCACATGTGTAGAACGATATTCAAAATCAAGTCTAAAGGAAAATAGAACATGTAATCATGACATTACATCAAATGTGGGTAACAATTTTGGGTAATCTATTGAGAAGGATATAACATTAACACTAAATTTACGTACATGCATGAAAGTGTTAGTAAGTACATAGCTTCAATTTTTTGTAAGTATGGAAAGGGGGCTATAAAAGATTTTTTTGATGTTTATTGGCATGTCCATAAAAAGAGTGTGACATGGTTTATATGGGTGAAGTACTTGTTGATGTTAATTAAGAAAGTTGGCATTGATTGATTTAAGTAATTATAAGCTATAGTCATTATTTTAATTAGTCATGTAAACATCAATCGGCTATGATTAAATTAATTAGCATGTTTGGTCAATTTTTTGGAAAGTTAATAATGTTTATTTTAGAAAGCTTAGAAAGCTAAGATGTTTGATCAAGTTTTTATGTTAATTTTTTTACTTCTGTTTCAAATTATCTATCGTGATTTTTAAAATTAATTATTTCAAATTATTTATTATTTTAAAAGTCCAAGACAATTATTCCGCCATCATTTAATAGTAATTGAGAGAGGGAAGATAGTATAAATATGTGTAAAATTAGTTTGGTTGTTAAATGGTTAATTATTCATTTAATTTCATATATCCACATGTCTCACTTTCGTTTAAAATAAGATAAAATACTCTCCAACATACTCCCTCTCTGTCCCTAATTACTTGTCCATTTTTGAATTGACACACCTATTAAGTAATCAATTAATGACATAGTGAATTTACCATTTTACCCCTATTAATTATGAAGTGGATGAAAAGTTCTGCATTTTTCAAAGTAAATTAGTCATTTAATTGAGGATATAATAGGTAAAAAAAATTGTCATTTCTTGATTTGTCAAAATGGACAAGTAATTAGGAACAACTATAAAATGAAAAGTGGACAAGTAATTAAGAACAAAGGGAGTACTTTCTTTTCTTTAAAAGCGTGCTTAATAAATAAAGCCGTTGTTGAACAAGAAACAACTTCCAAC